CTCACCTCCTCCAGGTTGCGGCGCATCCCCTCCAGGAGCTGGGAGCTGTCGGGGTCCTGCACGGCCTCCTGTGCCCTGCGCAGGTCCCGGCGCCACTGCAGGCTGGCAGCCTTGAGCGCCGAGCGCCGCTTGCGCAGGGAGCGCGTCTGGCGCAGCAGGAACTCCTTGGCGCTGCGCACCGACGCCTCCTCCGCTGAGATATAGCTCTGGACACTGCGGGGAGAGCAGCTCACAGCTCACAGGGCACCCCAAACGCTGCTCTCGGTGCTCTGGGTGCTCTGGAAAAGCAGAGCAAAACGCTTTCCTGGCGCACGGGTGGGTACTCACTGGTCAAACTGGAAGGCGCTTTCCTCRGGGCGCTGGGAGGATGGGGAAGGCTCTTTGGACGAGTGCTGAGAGGCAAAAACTAAAATAAGTATGGGAAACAGAACCCCAGGGCACCTCAGAATCCAATTAAGAGCAAAATCTTGGGATGGCATCACCGTGGCACTGCCCAGAGCCAAACACAGCCCCGGGGATGCTCCCGATGTGATTTTTGAAGGTAACAAAGATGTTTCTATCCCAACACAATTCCTGCCTTTGACTCRAGTATCCCACACTCCTCTCCACCCACTGATAATAGACAGACATCAGCAAATACTACTGAACACTCTGGCAAAGAGAAATCCATCTCTGCATCTCAAATGACTTCACAGAGAAGGAACAAATGCTGGGATTTTCAAGGGAGTTTGAGCCTCAGATCTCACAAGGCAAACACCTTCACAGGCTGCTTTACTCACAGCTTGAACAGTTTCTCTCAGGTCTTCAACTCGGAGCTCATCTTTCTTTCTTGGAGATTCCAGACTTTCTTCTGCCTCCAGTTCTTTCAGAGCCTCCTGCTTGCTCCTGATTGCTTCCTCCAGCTCACTGCCACCAGAAAAAGCAACAGAGAGGCCCGTGATTAGCCTGCAGTGGTGTCCAGTGACCTCCAGACTGCAGGAGGGGAAGGGCTGCAGGTGTGCAAGACAACACCTGAATGTGTGTTATGGAAAATATCAGCCCTGGCTGGGCAGGGAAACTGCTCCCCACCCTTCCCCAGCAGTCCAGCCACCTCAGGAAAACCTCTCTGCATTCCAGAGCCCCTCTCACAGCACCTCATTAACCTCCCAAGGCAGGCGTGGAGGAGACAAACCAACCCGACATGCAGAGGGGAGGAAAGAAATCCAAATTCACCCCCTGAGTTAGTAAAAAAATCTGCAACCAGCCCCCAGCACCTCAGGATTCTGARGGAACATGGCCCAAGCCAGAGCTCAGAGGTCAGGGAGAGGTTTGGCAGGGCCACAGGGCAGATTTTTTTGGTCTCAGAGGAGATTTTTCCCACACACCCGATGCGTTTCTGCAGCCTCTGGCTTCGGGTCTGCACCAAGTCCACCTGAGCCTCCAGCTCCGTCTTGCGGTCCTGCAGCTCCTCCAGGACCTTCCTGAGCTGCCAGATGGACTCCAGGAGGCTGGAATGCTCCTTCCTGCTCTCYTCCAGGCGCAGCTGAGAGGCCAGAGCAGCCTCCTGCAGGAAAACCAGACAATCCCTCACAGTCATCACCCCAAGAGTGAAACAAGGGGCTCACAGGGYCCCAGAGCTGCACAGCCCAGCCCTGGGAGAACAGGATTCTCCTCTCTCTGGGAAACAGCTCAGAATTAATCCCCCTCCCAGCCGTTTGCTCTCCTAAAGTCCAGCTCTAAGGTGCTGCCCTCAGCCCCTGTGTTCGTACATCTCTCTGGAGCATCATCCGCCCTTCCTCATCCAGCAGCTGCTGCCTCCTCCTCCTCAGGGCCTCCTCCTGTGCACGGGGACAAGGCAGGGCAGGGTCAGAGCTGGGAGGYTGCTGATGCTGAGCAGCACCTCGGGCACAGAGCTCAGGCCTGAGTCTCAAAACCGTTCCAAAACACACGGGCAGTGCTGTCACATTCGCTTTATGACCCCATCAGAGCCCCCCAAAGCACTGAGCAAACCCAGAGCTCAGACTTTCACAGCAAACAGCAGCACCAGGAATGCTGAGCCCTGGGATGAAGGGCTCATGKCAGTGAGGTGGCAGCAGCAGCCCTGGCTGAGCTTTCCTGAGCAGCTCCCACGAGGAAGCAGCCAAAGGACTGGCACGGATTAGGGAAGCTCTGTGAGCTCACCTGGCTGAGGAGYTGCTCTGACCTGGCCTGGATGTTCTTGGTGCGCATTTCAAGCTCCTTCTCTGAGTCCTGGAGTTTCCTTTCCTGCACAGAGACATTGAGCTGAAGGGAATGGCACGAGCTCCTCCCTCTCCAGAAAACACAAATGGGGATGGGTGACCTGGCACTCGTGTCTGTCACCCTGGGATGTGTGACCTGCCACTCGTGTCTGTCACCCTGGGATGTGTGACCTGCCACTCGTGTCTGTCACCCTGGGATGTGTGACCTGCCACTCGTGTCTGTCACCCTGGGCTGTGCAGGGCAGCAGGGGGACGGGGTGTGGAGCACCCAGGCTGTCCCTCAGAGTCCCAAGAGCCTGAGGCAGAGCTTGCTGCTCACCTTCTCCCTGTGCAGGGCGCTGAGCCTCCCGTCCAGCTCCGCCTGCAGCGTTTTCACCTCGGTGTCGTGGAGCTGCCGCAGCCGCGCCGTCTCAGTGCGCAGCCCCTCCAGCAGCTCTGCCCTCTGCTTGCGCTCCTGCCCGGCCCAGGAGACAGGGAAACACCTCTGTGAGGCACAGAGCTCTGCAGGGCTGGCWGGAGACCCCTGCCCATCACACTGACTGCTCCTGAGAGCGGTACCTCCTCCTCGTACTGCTCCYGAACCCGCGCCAGCGCCTGCCGGTGCTCCTCTCGCATCCTCTCCATCCTCCTCTCATGCTCTTTTTCCACTTCCCGGCGTTTCTCACTCATGAGCTCACTGAGCTGCAGGGGGGACAGGGAAAGGGGTTTTTCTGAACTGCAGCACTGCACCAGAGTGGCCTCCCAAAAATCAACCTCTCAAAAGAACATCAGCCTCTCAAAGGAACACCAACCTCCCAAACACCAACGTCCCAAACATCAACCAACCTCCCAAAGAAACACCAACTTCCCAAACACCAACCTCCCAAAGAACACCAACCTCCCAAACAAACACCAACCTCCCAAACACCAACCTCCCAAACACCAACCTCCCAAACAAACACCAACCTCCCAAACACCAACCTCCCAAAAATCAACCTCCCAAAGGAACATCAACCTCTCAAAGGAACACCAACCTCCCAAACAAACAACAACCTCCCAAACAAGCACCAACCTCCCAAATATCAACCTCAATGCCAGCCCAAGCCCAGAGCAGGACTGGGGATTGCATCCTGGGGAGCACAGGATGAGCTGGGCTGCTGAGGGATGTCCTTTTCCCTAAAGCACCACTGTCACCTCTCAGGTGTCACCCCACATTCCTCACCCATGAAAACCCCAGCAGTTCAAAGCAGCGCTCACCTCTCTCTCGTACTCCTGCAGYTGATAAGCCGTGTGCTGCACTCTCTGATCCGCTCCCTGCAGCTCCTCCCGCAGCTGGGCCTCCTGCCTGCCCTGTTCCTGAGCCAGTTGGGCTCGCAGGCTGCCCATGACCTGCCAGGAAAGGCACCCAGCGAGGCTCCCAGCCCGTCCTGCCCCACAGGATGCCAGCAGTGCCCTCACAGAGCCTGGCACAGCCTCCCAGCCCTGCCTGGAGCATGGCAAACGCTGAGCCAGACCTGAACCACGGCCAGGGAGGGGGAAATATTAATGCCACCCTCCCTGGGCACCTTTGGTGACAGGGTGAGAGAAAAACCCAGCAGTTTCCATTCTGAGGGCACCATGCTCACCTCACGATGCTTCTCTTCCGCTGCAGACTTCAGCTCCTCGAGTTCCCTGGCAAACTGTTCCTGCAGCTCCTCTGCTGCCTGCAGAAACACGAGCAAAACAGCGTGCTGGGAAACCTCTGTGTGTGGGGAGAGCATTTGCAATCAAACCCTATCCATGAGCACCAAAAAGCACAGTGGGAACCCCCATTCCAAACCAGAYCATGCACAGGGCACCGTTCCTCTCTCTGGGGATCTCGATGGATCTSTGCCAGGSTGTGCTGGGGGCACTGGGCACTGCCCCATCCAGGGGCTCCCCAGGTCCCTGCAGCACTAAAGCAGCAGCCAAAGAGGAGTTTGGAGCTGATGAAGCAGCTCAGTTTAGTTCTGATCTGATAGCAGGGCTCGGTTTAGCTCGCTGAGACACACAGTGATCCTTATCTTGCCTTCAGATGCAGAGAGGCCTTTTAAATAATTGCCAATAATCACCATTGTAATAACAACGGGGGGAACGCTCCTGCCCACCTCAGTGTGCCTCCAGCAGAGCAGCTGGCACTTCCCTTGGTGCTCTGAGCTGTCACCAGAGCCCTGCAGGGGTGGCAATCCTGACACTTCAGGAGCCAGGGGAGCAGAACAGCTCCAGCCAGGGGAGCAGGAACAGCTCCAGCCATGGGAGCAGGAACAGCTCCAGGCTGGCAGTAAGGATCTCACCTTCTTCTTCTCCCTGTCCAACCTCTCCCTGAGCTCGCTCAGGAACTGTTCCTTCTCTTTTTCCAGCTCACTCATCTCCCTCCGCCGTGCTTCCTCCATTTCCAGCTTCATTTCCTTCAAGGCCAGCTCCTGCTGCCTCTCCAGGCTCTTCCTCTCCATCAGCTGCTGGGAATCCCACGCTTCCCTCAGCTCCTGCAGCGTGGCCTCCTGCTCTGCCCTGGCAGGTTTGGGACAAGGACACAGAAATCAGGATCAGGCACTGGACTCAGAACCAGCCATGAGAGGTTCAGGATCTGACTCTGTGGGGATGTGCTGGATCCCAAACCAGCAGTTCATACCCCCAGGGATGGCAGCAGAATTCTCACCTCATCCTCTGCTCCTCCACCTCGATCTCAGAGGCAATCACAGCTTGCAGCTTTTCCAGCCTCTCTGCTATTCCCTCTCTGACAGGCAACTCTTCCTCTTCCTCCTCAGATTCTGCCAAAGCCTCTTCTGCAGTGCTGAGACAGAAAACAGAAAGGAAGAAATCAGGTTCAGGAGACTTCAGCATCTTCCAGTCACCTCCCCAAGATTTGGGGCTCTCACTGGCTGTGGTGACACATTCATTTCCCCCACACCTGCAGGACAGGAGATGCAGCCCCAGCACCAAACCTGAGCACTGTGGGTTTAAAACTTGCTATAACATCATAGCTTACCCTTGGCTTTGGTGGATTTTTTTTTTTTTTTTGTTTTGTTTTTTTTTTTTGGAGAGTGTGTTTTTTTTTTTTTTTTTTTTTTCTTTTTTTTTTAAGAGTATTTTGTTGTTTTTTGGGTTTTTTTTTTTCTCTTTTTTTKKCAKKTAAATTAAAYTAACTCTCACCAAATGGATGCAAGCTCCCAGACAACGTACATGGACACATCAGCCTGTCTGGAAGCTCCATATTTCCACAGGATACCTTTTTCCACACATTTTTATCCCTTCAGGTGCCATTTCTGCACCTTCCTTCTCACTCACACTGCATCCCCACGACGTTTCATGTCAAGATGCTTTTCCTGGCTGCTCAGAACATCAGCACYGAGTCCAGAAGGGAACACACAGGAGACAAATTCCCCCAGGGAAAGGGCACAGCTCCCAGTGCTGCTCCATTCCTGCACTGCTGTCACACCCTGTTTCACACAGCCATCCCTGCCCCATTCCTAAAGCCTGCTTTGGAAATCCCTCAGTAAAATATTCAGCATCAGAGCTCCACAGCTCCTCTGGGGTCACCTCATCTCCTCTAATGCTCCCATTTCCAGTCCTGTTCCCATCATTCAGCCCAGGATTTGAACATTTGCCAGGTGGGAGAGCTCCCAGCACCGAACTGGAAACTCCTCCCAGGTGAACCATTATGGGAAGGTTGAGAATTTCCAAGAGCTCATCCTGCTTTCCTGGCAGCGTGGCACAGCCCTTCCCTTGCAGATCCTCCCTGGCTGTGCCTGTCCATCCTCATCCTCATCCTCCTCCCTGAGAGCTCCTTCCCCCTCCTCTGACAGCAGCAGTGCCTAAAACAGCACGAGACTGTGGCCAGAAGCAACAAAATCCCACCTTGGACAGGCTTGCAGGAGATGGAGCAAAAAAAGGAAAGTACCTGAGGGGTTTTTCTTCTTGCTGATGAAGCTTTTCAGGTTCCTCCTCCTCCTCCTCCTGCTGCCTCATCTCCTCCTGGAATTGCTGAATTTTCTCCTTTGTTGGAAATAAATGCATTTCCTCTTGCTCCAGCTCTGCTTCCATCTCCTTGACTATTTCCTCCAGGGATTCATCATTAAGCTGGTTCAAGGACTGCTCGATTTCCTTCTCAGGTTGCCTACCAAAGAGAAAAAAAAGCTCCTTTGGCAAAAGGGCGACAGAAAACAGAGTGACACAAAAGGAACAGGAACATCCTCCAAAGAGCATCAACTCCAAACAAAAAAATCTCAGAGCCACCTGCTCCAAAAGCTTTACTGAACACCTCAGGTCCAGCATTGGTGGCTGACTCCCACAGAATCTCCACCTGATAAATTAAACCCAGCCCCAGGAACAYTCCAGGCCTGACTAACTCAGATTTTGGCCCAGCAGAGCTCACTTTGTGAGGAAAATAAAGCCTCCCTTCCTGAAAAACCCTGKCCAGGCTGCCAGGCACAGGAGCAGATGCCATCAGAAGCTGCTCCCAGCCCAGGGATTGCTGCTTCTATGGACCAGGTATTTTTCCTGCAATTGCAACCTAAAGTGTGCTGGGAATTCGCCAGCTCCAGGCAACAGAAAGCCCTCAGCACTCCAGAAATTCAAAYCCAATCTGGTTCTAATTAAGGTTKTTTTTTTTCAAACAGACAGCAGCAAAATTATAAGGTCTGAAAGAAGCTGAAGGGGAAGGAGGGGAAAATTGAGATTAGTCTAGGAAGAAAGATTTTTGTTCTTTGCTAGTGAAGGCTGGAGCAGGAAGGTCTCACCATGCTGTGAGACTGGCAGTGCAAGGCAGAGGGATTTCTGCCAGGAATCAGGGAAATAACAGCCCCACTTCTTCAGGAGAGAAAAGGTCATTTCTGCAGCCATTAGCAAAAAGAGCAAGGTAGAGGAAAATAGAGGGGTCTGGAACAATTCCCCTTGCTGGAAAATAGAGGGGTTCTGGAACAATTCCCCTCACTGGTGCCCCCCATAATGCCACCATTCAGCCACTTCCACCTGCTTTGTATTCTTCCTTTTGCCCCGGTTTGTGCTCCAGATGAGATCCAGCCAGCACACTCACATTTCACAGCAGCACAGCTCCTGGGAGAGCAGAGATTCCTTCCCCATCCCTGCTCCCCAGAGACACACTGCCTCATTTTTGCAGCTGCATCTGCTGACGTGTCATTTGACAGGGAATGCAGAGTCAGCACAGTGCCATCCTCTGAGATCCTGTCCCTG